AACTCCCTGATTTTCCCTCCCTTCTCCTCGACCAGGGTGCTGCTCCGTCTGTCCGAGATGTCAGCACAATAATGCCTTGGAGAAATAATTCGGAAACTCACAGTGTTTTTGCATTTCTTCCCACAACCTCCATGCCATATTGATGGTAGACAGGGACTGGGGGTATTTAATATTGAATTAACAATACTGTGGCTTAGAAATTGAATGCCTCGGCGTAGAGAGGTGGAGAGCTTTCTTGCAGCAGAGGTGGTTGGCTAATTTATTTTTTTCATTCACTACAGGCCTTTTGTTCGGTCCCATTAAGATTAACACATCTATACAAAAAGGTCCTGTTTTGAATTTAGTGGATCCAAAGTACTTTATAGGTCAGCACCTGAAAAGGGTGGCCAGCCTATATATTTTGGGTTATCATCTCTATCCAATATGACAAGACTAGTAATATATGTTAATGAGCTTGGGGCCCAGGGTGAGAGATTATAAATCTCATATCATCTGCTGGCTGGATACGGCTTAAAAATAATGGCTGGTTCGTCTGAGCACATATTGCTGTTAAATGAAAAGCTTATGATACCAAATTTAGTAAAGTTCGTATTATCACTTTACCTGATGGGTTTGGAGTTCTCAAGCCTGAGCACCTCTCCAGGAGTAAATTGATGATATAGCCCTGATCAAATGCTTCTTAAAAACAGATCTCTACTCCAGCTTCTGAGGCGCTGAAGTGAAGGTCTAGTTTTCTTTCAGCTACTCAAACTATCTCTTTAAGATCTAAGCTACTGCAGCCTAGAGTTTAACCACACTATATAAGCGTATAGTTATTAATCTGCCTTTCAGTGAAATCAGTCATATGTACCCGTCACCAGACTGAACCAAGGGACTTGAAATGCCCTCAATTATACCAACATCCTGACGGACTCATTTCAAGATGACCAGTATGACAAGTCACCACATCTTTTACAATACATACATAAAACATACTCATAAATACTCGATTGAAAGACAGCCAGACTCAAGCTTTTACATTTTCTTCTTTAAGAAAGATCATGTGCAGGCGGAGAAGGACGGCACTGAGAGCAGAAAGTGGAGGAAGGAAGATTGAAGGTGAAAATTAAGTGTTTTCACCTTCACTATTTACAAGTTACTATTTTAAGCTACAAAATAATATTTATGTATATGTGACAGCCACATTTAATTTAAGAGCTGCAGTAAGAGTTTAGATTTATGGCAGTATTTGTATTCGTTGGGGTTTACTCTTTGATTAAAGCTTCTGTGACTTATTCTCCACTTTCCAACTGTACTATAATCAAGCATTTTGCCTGTCAGCTCAGCGTAAGGCAAAGCTTTCATTTCACACCTGAACTGGTGTTCTGCTACAATGTGACTGCACAGTGCTGTGTAATCTGAGTGTGTGTGTGTGTGTGTGTGTGTGTGTGCGTGTGTGTGTGTGTGTGTGTGTGTGTGTGTGTGTGTGTGTGTGTGTGTATGCTTGCCTGACTGTGCATGCAACGCTCTCAGAAAATCAATAAGCCAGCACAAAGAACTGCAAAAAAATATATATATTTATGTAGTTTAACCTGCAGTATACTGCATATTAAAAGGTTATCTGCACGGAGTAAATACGGTGAGAAAACAAGGGATTATTAGGTGGTCAATGATTGCTTCAGGGAGATATTTCTCCTGAATCACAAAGCACTACTTGTGCCGTTGTTAGGGTCGAGTCCAGTATTATGAGGCGAAACGTTTATCAACGTTCTAGTTGTAGTCTGTGGCAATTCATTGCCTTCCATGTGCCTATATGAGAGCAGGACTTTTCTTCATTTACATCACAGTGCTGCACAGGTAGCAAGGTTCATGTTTCACCATCAGCAACACCGATTGCCTGAACAAGATATCCATTGAAAGTATAAATATTAAACATATATGCATGCATTTAAACGAGCTGAATTATGAAAAACTCAGGTCCTGGGTTGCTGGTATTGATTAGCTCTCTCCCATAGGGGGAGCTCCTGAGCCCATGTCGGTGCAGTGGGTCAGTACGCTGCACCCACCATCCCTGCCTCATCAAATGGATCAGCGAGAGAGGATCCTGGGCCTGTGAGCTCTGCTACTACAAATATCAGGTCATTGCCATCAGCACCAAGAACCCACTTCAGGTGAGCTGTAGGTGTAAAGGGCAGCACTGGAGACATTTAAAGGGAAAAGAGCTGGATCAGAAGTCAACGTTTTATCACTGTGCATGAAAATATTGACAAATTGCAGGTTTTTGAAAATAGGAGGTCCTGGCAAGTTAATAGTCCAATGAAAAACTCAAAAAGCTGAGTTACAAAATGTCTGTTTTGCCATGACATTAAGAGAATTGTTGGGGTTTATGAGCATAGGGGTAGATAGCCCCAGACCCTTCTCCACTGGGACTCATTTGGATGCGTTTTTCAGTTTTCACATCAACATTTATTTGGGACAGAGCACCATTCTCAGGAATTACACTGTCTTGACTGAAGCTCTAACGCTCTGATCTTAAACCGAGGAATTCAACTAAAAAGGAACGTGATGATAGGGTCTTCTGTGAGTGGACATAGAAGTGCTCAACAAATTGACAGATGTAAATAATTCATATGTTGCATACACATATGTACCTGAACTTGAAGTGTGAATCTTTTAATTAATGCTTTTTAATCAGTGATTGTACCCATTGATTGTGTCTTTCTCTTGTTGTCACTTACTCTCAATGGATTTGTTCCTGTTTTTTGTCCCTAGTGTTTTCCAAGAACTCAGTAAAGTTAAAAGACAAATGTACTTGTCTGTGTCTTCCTGCAGTGGCAGGCCATCTCCTTGACAGTGATCGAGAAAGTGCAGATCGCAGCAGCCATCTTGGGCTCCCTGTTCCTGATGGCCAGTATCTCCTGGCTGGTGTGGTCGTCTTTCAGCCCGTCAGCCCGCTGGCAGCGACAAGATCTGCTATTCCAGATCTGCTACGGCATGTATGGCTTCATGGATATCGTCTGCATCGGTGAGGTGCTAGATTTCACTTTGGTTTATTACTTGTTTAGTACAATTTTGAACCTCATAATTCCTCTCTGAATTGATTTGTGCAATTTAAGACAGAATGATATTTAATGTGTTCAGTGTGGTACATTATGCATTCAACAGGCAAAGCAAACATAATGTCAAAGGCCGCCGGCTGTGGCTGGAAAGTTTTACATTATCGATAATCAATCTATACCACATACTCCTTCATATCATTTCTTGAGTCTTGTCATGGTTCACTGGCTTATATTTGAATTACGCACATGATTGTTTGCCACTTTTATTAATACTATTCAGTATATTACAGTCACTATATTAAATGTGATGAAATGCTCAGTCAAAACTGAATTAATTAAACATAAATTAAACTTTTGAATATTGAGCATTCAGCAACTGCAGTGATTTTTATGGCATATAATGAAATGTGTTTCACTCTATAATTTACTCTGATGACCATCGTGCGCTGAGATAACGCAACAGAAAAAAAGGTGCATCAACGCATTTTTAACCATCTTCTGGATTTGTGTGGGTGTCCAGATTCAAACTTGTAGCATCCACATTAAGCCTGTTGTCTTCCTCTTGATTGTTTTTCCTGCTATGGCCATGGAATGAAACGCCCTGCTCTGCGTCTAAAAGAAAACTCTTTACTGCCACTGCAGCAGACAGCAGGATAAGAGGAAGAGGAGATTGATTGTCTCCGGGTTTGGTGGCAAGGATTGACTGCGGAGTCATTATCGCTGCACTTTAAAGAGATTAACTTGTCACCAGGCAGACACAAAGACCTGACTTTCACTTATCCACCAAGTTGGAGTGGGAGAGAAACAGCGCTGAAGAGCAGAGACAGGATTTTATCAATAAACTCTGTAAATATAGAAAAGGTTGGGAATTATTATTATTATCCATTTTTAGCAGACTGCTACAGCACAGAGCGGTATGTAACTGCTTACATCAGAGGACAAAGTTCTACCATAACTGTAATAAAAGACCTTAAAAACTCTGCTAGCTGTATGTGGTGATGCAGTTCTGTATACTGGCTGAAGTGGCGATGATTGTACAGAAGGTAATCAGCTCAGCTTAAGCAGGCAAAACATCCCATTCGTACGTACAGTATTTCCCTCTATATTACTTTCAAATTGAAAAAAAGCCGTAAAATGTTGGAGTCTAAGCAGCTCTTGTTGCACATGGATTTCAATTTTCCAGATACTGAGTTCAATGAACATAAATCAATAAGCAATTTTAAACTGTGATAAGATTTTATCGAACAACCCCAGAGAGCAGATGCATCATTTTTGCTAACTCTAAATCCAAAAGTGGTGAGGATTGCTGTGTCGTAAGTTGTGCCACGTCTAAAATGTTTCTAAGAAATGAAGATGATATCTCAGGTTGTGGTGCAGTACTTTAAAGATAAGTTGTTTTGTTCTGCTATTCCCTCAGCTAATACTTTAACACAGTGAATCTACCACTGCAGAGATATAGATCACTTTGTGGGGTCATTGAGACTGCTGCCAGGCAGTGACGTTGTCTAATTAATGCTCTGATCTCCACAGCGCTAATTGTCCACGAGGGACCGTCTGTGTTTCGTATATTCCACCGCTGGCAGGCCGTGAACCAGCAGTGGAAGGTCCTGAACTATTGTAAGTCTATGGACAATGAAGACCGGAAGAATGGCACTGTGGACAGGACTCTGTCACAGCGCAGCCCAGGTTATCAGACCGGGGTAGGAGTGTCCACCTCCACCTCCTCACTGATGGTGGTGGCCTCGACAGCCGATGGCTCCACCTCTACAGCCGTGGTGACGGCTGCAGGAGGACTGGGAACACATGTGGACCCCAACAGCGGCAACACAGTGCCAGACCAACACTGTCCCTACAACATCCTCCACCTCCTCAGCCACCTCAGGCAGCCAGAGGTCCGCAGCCAACCCAGCAATAGCACACGAGAGCTGGTCATGAGAGTCACTACAGTCTGAGGAGTCAGTTTGAGGCCTTATCTCACATGGAGGTGAACGATTTATGAACCAGCTGACAGTTCAAAATAAGTCTTGTCTCAACTGCACTGGATTAATACCATGTTCTTGTTCGTTTCAAAATGCATCTCTGATGTCCTTACATGCATTGAATAAAAGTCAAAGTTGTTTGATTTGCACAATTGGTTGAAAATGTATTATTTTTTTATATTTGGGGTAAAGAATATGTATTAAAATGTGCATAGATGTTCAATGCATCTTTGCATGGTGAAGACAATCTAAGCGCAAAGGTCCCCTTGCTATTGATTGAGCGCTTTCAACCGCATCTCAGGTGACACCTAGGCCAGCTCTGTTTGATTAATGAATGCTGGGTTGAAAACTCCAAATCCTTCATAAAACGATTTTTGAGCTTAGATTGTCATCGCCCTTTTCTTTTTGATCTGTCTGTATTACATAACAATGATCAAAAAAAAAGTAGAAAGAACTTCCTGTAAATTTGTATTTTTACAATAGAAAACCTTCAAACCTTCTGCACCATCGCAATGATAATCAGTGACAATTAAAGGACACAATCAGTATTTTCCTTATTTAATAAGTGCAGTAGTTCATGAGAAGATTATGAAAAAAATAACATATCTCTGCATGTTAAATTGATGTACTGCAGCTTTTCTTTATTATACAGGTTGACCAACTAAACTCAAGATCTGGAGCAGTAAACGGGCAGCCTAAACTAATCCACAAACCTTTTCTTAGATTTTTACCTTCCTAAATCAATGCTTGTTTGATAGCACATGTTTAGTACTTTTGTTCCATCATTTTCTTTCCCGACACCATTATGTGATTTTGTTGAGTTTGGAGAATGCATTTGCTCTTTTCGGAACACATGTTGTGTGCCTTCTTTTCTCAAAGAGGTGCCTTTTACAGTATACCATCCATCCATACAACAATGGGGTTGAAGTACACTAAGGACAGATCATCAGCTAGTTTGCTTAACTGCTTCTACCCGTATCTGCACACATGAAAAGACGTTTCTGCTCCGAAGCAGTGGTGTCACTTGTGCTCCATTAGACCCATATTCATGTTCACATTTGGCTCACAAAGCTCATCTCTTGTCTCTCAGATTCAGATATGCTCTATGATATTTCACAACAGCTCTTGTTTCATGTCCATGAAAGATCATTTAATCTCAGGAGACACTAGATCTATAAAGCATGTTGTAGGAGGGGAAAAAAACGCTGTTAAAAACATGCTCATAGCAGGGCGGACTTATTGATGGACTTATTTACCCATTTTCTCCCCACAACTTCAACAGACAGTGTGAAGACACTGTGCATTACTCTATGTCTCTCATTCGGATGCAGTCTCCTAAAAGAAAACATCTTGATGCTTATAACATCCATTACAAGCAAAAAGTCCAAAGCTGATCATAGTGTGAAACATCTTTCAGGAGCTCTGCCTCAGATGCTCTTCTTTTCCAACATGCGTTACATTAAAACAAATCATAAACTTAAAAATACATCTGATATGAATGAGGAGCTTAATGTCATGTAATTGGTTTTTATTTCTGTAGGTTTCTATGCAAAGCAGCAGTACACTGTAACCTTGTCTTATCAATATAAGTGTTAACTTTATTGAAGGGAAACAAAGCATAATCATGAAATGAACTACCTGCTTTAGTGTTCCTCCTAATTGATCTCCATGTTACCTGGTGGATGTGTTATTTTTTTCAGCTGCTGTTCCTCATCATAATCAAATGCCAGGAGTACAGTATCTGCAGAGAGTCAGGTATGGCACCATGATTTTCTGCTGAATTATTTAAGCCATGAAGTGCTGATATCAATGGGTGGGAGCTGCTGTATGGATCCAGCTTGCAAAGAGCTGGGAGGTTGCAGAGAGTTCATCATGATTCAGCTTGCCTCAGTCCTCTTCACAATTGTCTCTTTGAACTCACACGCGCACACACGTAGCTTTGATGAAACTCAAAAAACAACCAAACGCACAGGAATTAAGTCTTTCTGTCAGAATTAATATGTAGTACGTCTCCAGCAGTTTACATATTTAACTGTGCTCAGTTGCACGTCATGAGATCATAGCTATTGCATGCTTTGGAAATAACATACTCTGTGTTAAAATTAATGTTGGAGCAGGGAGTATGAAGACACACTTGTAACTCTGTATTTTCAACTTTCTCTGTTTTTAAGGCCATCTTTTTAAAACAATTCAAGGTGTGCTTTCCATTTCCATTCATAGTTCTCAGGTTTCATTTAATCAGTGGATCCTCTCAATACTATTCTACGATTATAAATCATATTTGAATATAAAATGAGACAAAATTTAAGCCAAAGCAGAACTACTGTTGCGGTTTGTAAATTTATGTAAATTTTAACTTGAGGCAAACATGAGAAAAAGTAATTCACGAATGTCATCAATTAGATTTTCTATCAAATGTGAAAGCTTTTAACATCTCTGCTGAGGCAAATAATCGAGGCTCTTTGCAGAGCCTGAACATCTGAAATTCATACAAAGCCGTGACTTCAGACAGATTGTCTTTCTCCTGGTTACAGTGTCATAAAACCATAACCATTGTATAAGCATTGCTTTCATCTGCAGAAAATTGACCCGAAAATGATTTATGCAGGCTATATACAATACTGAACCATTGAAAGTGGGTAAATTGCATACAGCTAATGTGTTATTCAAGCGGAATCAGACGGGCAGAATATACCGAAATCACTCGCTGCTACTTCTCCTACCTTTGAAAATGAAAATGTGCAATTTTTGTTGAGGTGAGATGAAATGACAGTTGTTATAAAGAGGCTAGGATCAATGATAATGCTCGGAGAAATTGCAAGAGAGGCAGCCTTAACACTTATGGTGAGATTCTTCATCTTTTGAATCCATCCTTTTTCTATACAGACTTATACCTGTTCAGAGCCAGGGGCTATGCCTGAGGCAGAATCTTTTGAGTTAATTGTCACAGAGAAACAAACATCTGGGCAATTTTAGAGGCTCTAGTTCAATGCATCTGCATGTTTTTAGACTGGGAGGAAACCTGCACGCACACAGGAAGAAACTCCAAACAGGAAGTCTACAGAGGAGATTCCCACCCACAACCTTCTTGGTGTGAGATGACAAGACTAACCACAAGCCATCGCTAAATAAATAATAATTTAGTAGGAATCTCCTTTTACGAGCGAGGAACCAATTGAAAAGATATAAAACATTCTGTACTTCACTTGTCAAAAAAAAAATCTGTAAGATCAGAAATAGATTCTCAGTAACATGTTTTTGTAGCTTGTGTTCTCCCCCTGGTGGCCCATTGGTGAACTGCTCTCTCTGGCTACTTTGAGTAAAAACAGCTTTATATTTACACTTAAGTGGCAAAATTTGTGGAGTGGACAGTGATTTACAGTTCAAACTACAAGTAGGAATGTATTGTCTTGCTAAGAGTAATTTTACGTGACAAGTGGCATGTCTCTGCAAACACCATACTGCTCACTGTAATAGGTGTTGCTTGTCTGTGTGAAACAATGATACTATACAGTTTAGGGCCCAAGAGAAATTCAGAAATACAAAATTCAGAAATTGATTCCCTGTCAATGACTCTGCACATGGCAACAGCTGAGTCAGCAGTTTGCAGATAACAGTGCTAACAGCGTTAACAGTGAAAAACAATGACGCAGCAATGACAAACCTAACAGGGTTTAGCTGATGGGGATATGGAGGGTGGCACTGCTGCAGTCGGTCGGGATCAGCTGTAACTGCCGTTTGAGCGCAATGCGGAGCAGCTGCCCTTAGTTAACCAGTGGGGCATGCTCACATGCACGAGCATGCACTAAAAGCACAGCATAGCAGCTCGTTTTTTGCTGCTATATAAATTTTCTGAATCATGTATATTGCACCCTTAAAACAGTACTTTTACTTGTAATATGTTTGCATTGTGTTTTGATTATGGACAGTCTTATACATTATAAAAATACAACATATCAGACTTTAAGGGATATAAAAAATGTATTCTTATCCCTAGTGGTATTGATATTGAAGTTTAAAAAAGGTGTTCATTGGTAAAACATATATGGGTTCCATAACTAACAATTTGAATATGTTCTGCCAAAAAGATAATGGCCTTTATTTGTTAAATGTAGTCGTCATTGCTTTATTAATGTATAAGATATTTGAGTGCTCTGGTTTGAGGAGGTCATCATACTCATTGTTCCTTATTCCTGCTCCTCGTGGTGCACAGCTGCTCGTATACCTGTAAATGTTAATCTGGATGCAGCAGGCATTAAAACGAGTGTTAACCGGGAGGAAGCAGCTCAGATTGCCTGCCTCTCTCTTAATCGCTCACTTGCTACCTCAGCATCTCTGCAGATGCACCCCCACCCCACACACACACACACACACACACACACACACACACACTATGGTTCTCTATAAACAGCAGCAGCCCTTTGTGAGCAGGTCAATAGCAGCACCACTGAATTTCTCTAGCTGAGCCACTGATGAGGGACTTCCTGAGCACGATGCCTTTGAATGTCGATAAATAGATCGCCTTGCACTAATGCATTCCTGCTGATTGTTACACTGTGTCAGAGTACAGTGTGTGACTTGATTAAAATACATCTCTTAAACTAGGGCACATGCCCTAAATGTCCAATCCTTGTAAACAACAAAGGTTTACAGTGTCTGGGCAATTCTATTGAGCAAAATCTGGATCAGCTATACCATTATTTCCAGATTTGACAGGGCTCTATAGTCAGTAATCCCGCTTGCTGTTTTCCACATCTTTTTATGTTTTTCAGTGTATTTTCTATATTCTCCTGTCTTTGTTTTGCCTTTGAAGGTGAAGATTTCACCATTCCCTTGAGGATTTAGCTTCATCCACAAATGAATGTGCATGATGAAGGAACTGAATAAACAGCAAATGGTTTATGTGAGGATCAGGTCTATTCTCTATCCTTATATGCCCTTTTTTATCCAAGCCTATACCGCTACCTTGCTCCTGGTATCTTACTGGATACATTTCAGTTTTCTAGCCTTTTTTTTGTTCATTCATGTGCTAGTGGAGAAGTCCAATATCATGGACTTTAGCGGCTAAAAAGAAGCAGTAACACATCCCAGTATGAAAACATAATTGATTTATCTTAATGTAGGATTCCTTGGTCAGCTATTGGGAAACTTACAGTGATTTTGTAGGTCTGTTAAGTACCTCACAATACATCTTTACCACAGCATATCTGAACTTGCTTACTAAAGTTAAATGAAGCATAAAGTTTCAATCATCAGGACCACTGAGTGACCGCGCTACAGTTACTGCTGTGGTCTCTGCTCTTGATGTATAGTTTTAAAAAAGAAGAATGTCATGGAGGCATGAAAAGACAGGCATGTCAGTTGTGATCATATATCTGCAGAGTCTGAAAGGAAATTGTCCTTCAGGAGACAATGAAAAATTGATTTTATGTCTCGTGGCAGTGAGAACAAAGCTCATGCTGCAGGGTCTCCAGTGCCATCAAATTCAGAGGACCTGTGTGTGTGTGTGTGTGTGTGTGTGTGTGTGTGTGTGTGTGTGTGTGTGTGCACGCACGCGCGTGTGTGTGTTTTATGGCAAAACACCTCGGTGATGTTGATATATACCAAACCTCTGGTAAAAGATAATTGTAAAAAAAAAGAAGTACATGGTTGTCCAAGAAAAAGATGGCTAACGGCCAACATTAGCTGTCAGAGAAGACGCTTTATGGTTCCCCAAGTGTTTTATTGGGAGGAGACAGTGACCTGGTCAAGAACAGGCTTTAACGATCTCAAGCATCTTTCTGAGATGATTACTACAGATGAAAGCAGCAGGACATCATGGTGAAATTGGTCTTGCATGGCATTGCTTACATTAACTGAATTTACAGCCTATACAAACGGCAGGACAGCAGCAGCAGCAAGTTGAGAAGTATGTGCCCAGTCGTATTATCCTCTGTGTTAAACTGTCTGTTAAACTGGAAGTACATATTATAACAAATTGTAAGATTGTGTAATTTTCAGGTTTTGTAACTTTCAAAAGTAATTGCTGCCCCACAATTAAAAGTTAGGTCATTGGTAACACTGAATGGTAGTGTTACACAACAAACGTTTACAAGAAAACTCCACAGAGAACTTTTGAGTAAAACTATTTATTAAATACTCGTATAAATCCTTTATTCACAGTACAGAAGTATGTACAAAATGTAGGCTCTGTGAGTAATATTTTGCTTTTTGTTCTATTTCCTATTCATGGATATTCATGCACCAATGTGTAAATACCTTTTCCCTGTTTTAGCTGGTTTACATGATGTTAACTATTATATACACTGCTGGTCTATAACAATGCATCACAAGCAAAGTGCACAAAATGTGAATACTGAAGTAGTCCCTGAAAACTACACTTAGATAGGCTTCACTGCCTGAGTAAACATACTTGTACTTTATGTATACCATGTATGCAATTTCCCACAACCTAAGGAGATGTATTTAAATAGCTTGTTATATTTCACAAACGGTCCAAAACCCAAACAGAAAAACACTGGAAGCTGCGAGTGTTTCGACATTTTTGCATGAAAGTTGTTTAAACTGATCAAAATAGGCTGATTGAATTATTTTTCTTTTAATCTACAGATTAATTAATCAAATCATTATTTCATAAACTATAATTTTTGGATAGTTGAAGCAGTTAAATTCCAGCATGACATCTCTGGTGCTGTGCAGTCTTACAGTGTAAACAGACTGTACAGCAGCCTGTGCAGCTCTCTCCATGTAAGGATATGCAGCAGTGGTGTTGAAGTGTTTGTAAAGCTGCTGCTGTTTGGAGAGAATCAGTCTGTGGCTCACTTTTATTCTGTCAAATCAGGCAGATAGATAGATTATCACGGCATCTTGTGTTTATTTAAAGCTGCTTTATTTTCCAGATTTACACCAACATTTTGGATACCGTGCTGTCTCTCTTGACTCCAGCAGCTATGTCAAACACAGGCCGACTATCTAAACATCATCTCTCCAATGAAATTCCGTTCCGCGTGCACGTGCACGCGTTTATCAAGCGCGCTCTTGCGTCAATCGAGATTAAAACTGGGCGTCTCCTGGACCAAGAGATGACCCTGGACCAGTCGGCTGATATGGGAGCTCAGACTGAGAAGATTATCTATAGTTTACATTCTTTGGAAACTGATTCCCGACAGTTTATTGTCGCATCGTTCATTAAGAACTTTGTCCGTACTGTCGCCGCGGTGAGTACACTTTAATTTAACTTTTCTATAAGGTTTAGTGAAGTGTAGTGTGTAAAGCACGGACCAGATGCAACTCAAAATATAAAGCAATTAGTCTTTGGTTTATATGTACCGTACGTCACAGATGACGGTGTTTTTGGAAGAAAATAATTTACAGAGAGTTAAATTAAGGATAGTGGTCGCTGATGTGGTCGCCTTGTGGGAGATACGTTGTTATAAGTGAAAGTGCTGATTCTAAAAAGTAAAGTGTAATTATTCGCAGCAACATGTACTCAACTCATCATAAGTAAAAGTAGCATAGCAGTAGAAGCAGAGTTTTATGTTATTCTGCATTATAGCATTGGACCACAATTACTGATGCATTAATAAGCAGCAGTGGTGGAAAGTAACATTTACTCAAGTACTGTATGTAAGTCCAATTTTAAGGGTAGTTTCACTCTACTTGACTATTTTCATTTTACGATAGTTTTTACTTCTACTCCACTACATTTCAGAGGGGCATATTGTATCTTATACTTCACTACATTTAACAAAGAAATTATGATTGTGCCAGATTAGGATAAAACTCTATTGATCCCTGAGAGGAAGTTCACAGCCCACCCAGCAGATTAATTAAAATGACCCCCACTTTTACCAGCTTCAACATTAAAGTGATTCTCACATTAATACATCAATAATTATAATCCAGTGATATGATATACATTATTCTGAAATGGGCCATTCTGCATAGTGAGTACTTTTACTTTTGGTACTTGAAGTGTATTGATGTCAATGATTTTGTACTTTTACTGAATTAAAGGTTTAATGCATGCCTTTTGTAACAGAGTATTTCTACACCATGGTGTTGCTATTACATTTTAATGATGTGGCTGTTCCAGTGGAGCTAATTTGATCCACTTTATATAGTGTTGGGTAGTTTAATCAATAGGAAATATGAATGTGTGAAGCATGTAAATATATAGCTGTTGAAAACATGTAATGGGCTGAAAAGTATAATACAGTATTTCCCGCTGGAAAGTACTGTTGTAGTAGAGTAGAAGTATAAAGCAGCATTAAAAGGAAATGCTCAAGATGAGTACAAGTACCTCAAAATAGCACTTAAGTAAATGTACTTACATTCCAGCACTGTACAACAGCACAGCTGTCTGGCTTCGAGTTCCCTCAATAAAATCTTATCCATCTGTTGTCATCTTTATGTTTTTCAAACAGTACAACTCCTTTTTAGATGTGGGCCCTCCTTAAACAAAATCTTATCTAGATCCTCTGATGTCTTTTTCATGTTCTATCATTCATGACATGACATAGTTTGTGAACCCCCGGCGTGGATGACTGTTTCATCAAACAGGTGGTATATGCAACTGAAAAGATTTCCATTTCAGCCACAAATTAAAATATTGCCCTTCTTTTCAACAGTGCGTGGTTATTCACATGCAGACATTGTTTAAAACAACGATAAACATTCCTAAGCTCTGTGAAGATGCCTTCTGTGAAGACTCACTTGTTTGACAGCTATTTCCTGCATTTAAAGGGAGCGTTGGAGTGAAAAGTAAGCCTTCAACAACTGTCCTCTCCTCTCTCTCTTCTTTTCTTTTGCAGGAAAAATGGCGATGATTTCAGGGTTCATCTTTCTGTGCATGCTCCAAGCTGCAATCCCTCAAGGTCTGACCCCTCGTGGACCGAGGCCGATACCTGGGCGAGGCGACAGTCCAAATACGAATCCACCTCAAGGTTGTAAGAGTGAGTTCCATTCATTTCTTTAGAGCTCAGTTGAATATGAATTTCTTTTAAAGAATTTAGGCCTTTTTATATATTCAATGGTGGAAGAAGTTTTCAGATTCTTGACTTCAGTAAAAGTAGAAATACCACACAATAGAAATACTCCATCATTCAAAATATTACATGAGTAAAAGTAAGTATTGGTAATGACATATACTTAAAGCTACAGTCGGTAAAGAAATAAAAATAACTATTATTTTCATATTTCCTCAAACTGTCTCTATGTGCTGACAGTAGTACATGAGACTGATAATCTGTGGATAAAATAAGGTTCCTTTGCCTTCTTTTAGTGCTCCTAGTGGCTTTTGCGCCCAACGAAAAACAAACAATCAGAGCAAAGAATTCTCTAACGTAGCTGTCAAGCGCTAGTCAGCGCTGATCAAATAATAATCAAGTCCATATATCATACAATAAGTTGATAACGTAAAAATGATTGTCCATATATTGTACCATAAGACGATAGAGTATTTCTTGTAGCAGGCCTAGTAACTAGCACCACCAGGATTTGAAGCAAGTTTTACATCGTGGTCAAACGGTGGAATTACACATTTCGGGTCCGTTACGTGATGCCATGTGGCCCAAAAATACTTTTCCCCATAGTCTTACTTTTGGAAAGAGACTTCTGTAATTCACGGGATAATTTTATTTTAGGTAAATCAACTTCCCGGTACGAACACTTGAACAGCCCTTATTTAGAGTTATTTTCCTTCCTTTGTTCATCTGAATTCTTTACTCGGTAGTGGAACTTGTATTTGCTTCATGTGCTACTGAGCAACTTTCACAGGAATGAACGGGGCCCCGCCTCCGACGCTTTGTCTAGTTCTCTTTATACATCCATGTGTAAAAAAATACAATATTTCCCTCTGTAATGTAGGGGGTAGAAAAATATAGAAAATACGCAAGTAAAGTAAGATTACCTCAAAACTGTACTTTAATACGGCACTTGAGTAAATGTACTTTGTTACTTTTTACCACTGCATGTGTTACATTTGTAACGACAGTAAAGATGTTAACACTTTGGTCAATGTTCTCTCCTCCAGCTGGGATAATTGACTGTCCCGTCAAGGTGTTTTTTACCCTCGACACCTCAGAAAGCATTGCCTTACAGGAGTCCCCGCCTGGGAGCCTGGTGACAAAAGTTATGGAGTTCACCAAGATTTTTGCCCAGAGGCTGGTTGATGAGGAGTACATGGGCCAGATCCAGATCTCCTGGTCCATAGGAGGCCTGAACTTCTCTGAGTCGCAGCACATCTTCAGTCCATTCACAACCAAGGAGAACTTCATCAGGAACCTCAATGGGATTATATATAAAGGCAAAGGCACCCACACCGACTGCGCCCTCAAAGAAATGACTCACCAGATGACCCACCACTACTCAGGGACGAAGGCCGTCCTCTTCTCTGTGGTCATCACGGACGGGCATGTGACAGCAGAGCGATGTGGAGGGGTACGGCAAATGGCAGAGAAGGCATTGCATAAAAAGATACAAATTTTCTCAGTGGCAGCGTCCAGGAGCATCGATGAATTAGGAATGAGGGATGTAGCCGGCGCTCTCCCTGAAGTGTACCGTGATGACTACTTAGTTGTGGACATCGTTGATGGGAAACCAGAAATAAAGACTGAATCCATCGATCGTATCATAAAAATTATGGTGATCTGAAATCTTCCTCCTTTCTTACCTTGAATGCTTATATTCTAATTCAGATTTAATTTACAGTATCATTACAAGGCACTTTTCACTTAGAGTTGTTTTTTCTTTGCAGAAACATCAAGCCTTTGTACAGGTAAGGAGGAATTAACTATTATTATATGTATGTTATTTGATCAGACATTAAAAAGGGATACATTTCTGCTTATAGAAATTGTGCCAAATCTCTTGTTTTCTATGTTTTCATGTGTTACTACAATTAATACGGTTTTGTTGTCGTGTTTGATCATGTAGTGTTATAAAGAAAAATGCCTGGAGAGTCCTGGGATCCCTGGACCAAAAGGGCCTCAAGGTCCAAAAGTGAGTAGCAAAAACAAAATCAAAAATATGTAAATGATGTATATTTCTGTTTGTACCAAATTTTATTTTTTTGTTCTTTCTTCTTATTTCTAGGGTACAAAAGGAGATAGAGGTAATACGGGGGCAAGCGGAGACAAGGGTAAAGAGGTAGGTCCAAGATAGCAACATTATTACACCTTGAAATTCTATAAAAAAATAAACATTATTGTGTAATTTTTATGCTGAATATGATTTATTATATTACAGGGTGATCCTGGCATTGAAGGTCCAATCGGACAACCCGGTCCGAAGGTTTGCTGAGGCCCACTGATTGATGGTCTTGTGTGCTACACATTCATAGTTAACTAATTTGTCATCCTTTATCTCAGTAACGTGTGCTTCTGTGCTCTGATATAGGGAGGGACTGGTTCGAAAGGTGACACGGTGAGAGAAATCTTTATGCCCCCGCCTTTCACTTCATCCGTCAAATTAAATGAAAGTCTGATGGCTATTCTTTATCTCATCAGGGTGAACTCGGAGCAGGTGGAGCAAAGGTAAGAGTTTTAATGTTTACTTGCACACATTTTATATTTTATATCCTACTACATCCGACACCGTCGATGTTTGTTTCGTGACATTTTTCTGTCTTCACTGTCCGAATACTCAGGGTGTGGCAGGAGTAACTGGCAGGAATGGAACCGACGGTCAAAAGGTGAGTCTTCATACAACAAAGTAAAATGTACAATACACAGTGACTCTGAATCTGTTCAGCACACTGATGTGATATCATTGTCTCTGGGAACTCTTCAGGGTAAAATCGGCCGAATTGGAGCTCCTGGTTGCAAAGGTGATCCAGGTAACGAGGTAAGTCTAGTACTTGTATGAAATGTTTCTTTACATGATGCTCTCAAGGTGCTAGTGTTGAAATGTTAAATGTTTTGACCGAGGTGAGAAAATGTATCTCTGGTAAGATCGTTAGTGGATCCAGTGCTATTCTAACCGTCTTATTTAATCATATGTATTAGATGAAGTGATTCATGTGGCTTCATTTCTACATTACATCAGCCATAGAGCTATAATAAGGATTAGTTTACTGGTTTACTGAACTACTGCATGTTTCTGTTGTATGTCTCTAAAAGGGACCAGATGGTTACAATGGAGATGTTGGTGACACTGGGACACCGGGTGACAACGGAGGAAAGGTCTGTGTTACATCAAAACTAGCATCTTTCTCTAAAAACAAGCCTAAGAGACAACAGCCATGCTAGCTGCTCTGTGAGGCTGTACTTAGGCACAGCTATGCTTTTTGCCAATGCTAACATGCTCACAATGACACGCAGGTATAATGTTTACTATGTTTACCATCTTTGTTTAGTGTGTATGCTAATATTTGCTAACACCAAACAAAAAGTACAGCTGAGGCTGATGGGGATGTCATCTTACAGGCATTTAGTCATATTCAACTAAATAAAATCTTTGATGGCACTAGAGGAAAAATTAAAGGCTTCCTGACGGTATTACTGAGGGGGACATGAATGTCTCAACCAAATAGAAATACATTTTTGAGACATTTCACTCGAAAACATAAATGTTAACTAACTGGTGGCGCTAGAGGAAAAGTTAGAGGATCACCAAAGTCAGTAGGATTCATCCTCTGGGAATCGTGAATGTCTGAACAAGGTTGTACAGCAAATGCTTCAGTAGTTGTTGAGATATTTCAGTTTGGACCAAAGTGAAAGACAGATCAACAGACACCGCCAGTGTGGCTAACAATAGTCCCCTTCCTCAAACTTTATATCGATATTACTTTCCACATTTTTAAAACGCTTTGCAAACTGTGATTAGCCATGCTAGAGCTCAAGGGATGTCACTTTGTTCATGGTATGTTGGTCATTTGGTTCAGAGTGAAAGATTTTTTAATATATTGTTATTGGATCTCAGAGGATCCGACTTCAGAAGGTCAGAATTTTCACAACAGAATAGATCTAAACCAAGAAAAGTGAAACGTTTCATAATTTGATGTGCTCCGTAGACTTTCAGACGTCTCAAATGTGCAGTAGATAATGTGATTTGTTTGTTTAGGGAGACTCAGGCCTTCCTGGAAAGTCGGGTCCCCCCGGCATTCAGGGTGACCAAGGACCAAAGGTAAACTTTAAATTAAACACAATGGAAAACATTGTTAGAAAATGAAGATTCTCCTTTGCTGAAAAACAAAATCAAAAATCTCTGTTCATTAGGGTGAAGAAGGAAATCCTGGAAATCCAGGGCCACCGGGAACAAAGGGTCTTCTGGTACGGAAAAACATTTATTTTCATTATAATGACTTCTGCTATGTATTACTCTGAGTAAGTTACAAAGCTGACTCTATTTACTCTTGCAGGGAATTCCTGGCGGACCTGGACAAAGAGGCGAAGGGGTATCTCAAACACTTTTATTTAAAACAAATAAAAATTGCCATAGTTTGTTATAAATTATCATTAAATGAATATTAACAGGGAAGGAGAGGAGACCCAGGAGCAAAGGGAGGACAAGGTTCTGATGGGCTAAAAGGAGCAACGGTAAGTCCAGCGCTCAGAGGAAACTTTAGAAACTGTAGAAAATACAGTTCTACAGAAATATGACTCAACTTAGTGTAGTTTGCTTTAAAACAAAACATGCTGAGAAGAACACGATGGGAAACAGAGCTGGTGCTGAGGATCTGAGAGCCAAATAACAACTTATTGTGAAACGCTAACAAATAGTGGACTCGGTTGACCTCACAAGAGAATTTAACATGAGAGAAATGAGTCCCACGAGTTTCAAATCCCTCTGCAGGGATTTAATCTTCCAGAGAAAGATCAGAAACACTTCCTTGCCGAGCCTGACTCAGCTCTGTGTTGCTATTGGCCATTTTTTTTATCAGATTCTCTGGATAATTACGCCCAAATTGTTGCTTTACTGTTGTGTTTTGTGTACATTGGTTGATGATTAATGGTGTGATGCAAATCCTGACACACTCATTTATTTTCTAGGGAGAACTAGGGCCACAGGGGGGCAGAGGCCTGCCCGGAGAAAATGGACTCAATGGCACAAAGGTGAGGGGATCATGTTGTGGGTGGATTTTGGCAGAGGGATGACTCAGCAGCTTCCTAAGAATTCAGCAAGTCATCTTTAGATTCGCCTTCATGTATTGGGTCTGCAACCAAGATAGCCTGAACTGAACTTGTTATCGTAAAAACACATCTTCCAGGGACGTTGAGTTGTCCAGTACTGTGCATTGCCAAATTCCCATCAGCCAGAATAAGTCAGTGTACGTGGGCTGGAGTGAAGGTCATGTCTAGTAATGATGTTTTCCCTCATATTTTCTCGTCCAGGGAGACCAAGGACTGCCGGGACCGAGGGGTCAGCCAGGAGAAACAGGGGGCCTCGGAGGAAATGTGTGTCGTTGATAACACCATAAAAACTGTATATTCTTAACAAAATATTTGTGTGAAATACACAGTTGATAATGTAACTTTTATTGAGTTTCTTCTGTGGTTGCAGGGCACCATGGGAAATCCTGGGGATCCTGGACGAAGGGGAGACTCTGGGCCACCTGGACCAAAAGTGGGTAAAAAGTTTCTGTCCATCACTTTCATCATGTAAAATGCTTCAACATTTTGTGATTATTGTGATTTTTTTGTTTTCTTTTAAAGGGTGACAATGGAAGAGCAGGATTCAACTATCCCGGACGGAGAGGATCCACTGTACGGTTTTCTTTCTCCCTCACAAAATTCCTGCATATGTTGCATACTCGGGTCTAAAGTAACTGTGCTCGTTCCAGGGAGACAGAGGTGATCCAGGTAGAAGAGGACCCCGGGGGGGCAGAGGTGAATGTGGTGCCAAAGGAGAAGCTGGAAATAACGGACAACCAGGAGAGGCTGTAAGTTAAATAAGAACATGTCTGAAGTGCAATTTGGGTGTCAACCTGTGTTTTGACCAGAGATCGTAGATTAACAAAACACCAAGAAGTTCATGATGTGCAGAGAATACCTTAAAATGAATGCTGTGTATGCTGCTCAGTAATAATATCTATCCATGCAGATATCTTTGATTTATCCAAGCTTTTAGGTATCTGTCACAATCAATAAAAGTGGATGAAGTTTGGTGAACACAGCATTGAACAAAGTGAAACAGATGCAGACATCAATGAAAATCTTACTTCCACAGAAATGCAACTTTATGCAAAAACACTTGCACTGAAAAATGTTTTCTGTTCAGGGGATAGAGGGTCAGCCGGGTGAGCCAGGAGGGAGGGGAACAAGAGGAAATCCTGGATCTGATGTAAGCAACAGCTCAAACACTTAGATAATGTCTTGGCAATGCATGCAAATTTGAGATCCAATTGCATTGCCTTCTCCTCTTTGTGTGTGTGTGTGTGTGTGTGTGCAGGGGGACCCAGGACCAGTGGGCGATCCTGGGCTCAATGTGAGTCAACTTCATAAAGCAGTACAGTTTTGAAAAATACGATAAAGTAATTATATTTCCTTGGTTGTATTACTTCTAACATGCACACCCGTCACTGCAGGACTGCGATGTCATGGCTTACATCAGGGAGACGTGTGGTTGTTGTGGTAAATATCACCGATCAAACACAGCTTCATTGTTTATTGTCTTTCAGCATACTGATCCAGTTCTTGTTCTTTTGTCTCAGACTGTGAGAAGCACTGTGGAGCTCTGGACATTGTATTTGTAATTGATAGCTCAGAGAGTGTTGGGCTGACAAACTTCACCCTGGAAAAGAACTTTGTTGTCAACACCATCAACCGGTTGGGATCTATGGCCAGCGACCCTGTGTCATCAACCGGTACAGTCAAAACACAGCCCAGACATCCCTGCAAATCCTTTTGCAGACACAGTTTCAAGTGACAAGAAGTAGATAGAGGTTGCCCTAAGAGATTAACCGTTTCCAAAACGTGAATCAACTTAATCCACCACTGAATATACAGATAGAGCCAAAATATCTGGACAGGCCCTCACTACACTGTTTAAGCCAAAACATCAGCAATGTTTTTGATTTACACATTTGTGAGTAAGGTTGGCAATATTTTGTATTTCTTACTTTCAACAAATCCAATGTAAAGACCAAGACCAACAACTAATTTATGATACGGAGAAGTATTTTCTGTACAACCCAATCATACTATAGCTGTGTGGTCGAACTCCAAGTAATAAACACGACGAAAAAACACAGAAATGATCCATGGACACTGTGGTCAATTTTGAGGCATCCTACTGCCATTTAAAAAGACTCACCACAGCACCATGTTTGTACTAATACGTGACTGAAAGTAGTCACAGACAAATGCACAATTTACACTTGTTTGAATTACTGTATTTTTGGCTTTGGTATTTTTGTGGGATTTGTTTACAGTAATGACTTATAGAGTAAGGCCAGCCTCATCTGCCCCCCCTTGACATGTCTACCTCTTCCAGGCACAAGAGTCGGAGTTGTTCAGTTCAGTCACAACGGGACCTTTGAGGCCATTCGTCTCAATGACCCAAACGTCAACTCCATGTCTGCCTTTAAAACGGCAGTGAAGAAGCTGCAGTGGATAGCCGGGGGCACCTTCACACCCTCAGCACTCAAGTTCGCCTATGATCACCTCATCAGGGACGGCAGGAGAGCCCAAGCCAAAGTGTCCGTGGTGGTGATCACAGACGGCCGCTATGACCCACGTGATAATGAGGATTTGCTCCAGTACCTTTGCAACAACGATGTGGTGGTGAACGCCATCGGGGTTGGTGATATGTTTGAAAAGGAACAAGATGACGAGATCCTGGTGTCTATCGCGTGCAACAAGAAGGAGCGCGTCACTGGGATGAAGCGTTACGTAGACTTGGTGGCTGAGAAAATGATACAGCAGATGGAGACGGCTCTCTGTCCTGGTGAGCCTGGACCAGTAGTACAACAATACTGGGACTTCTGACCAGTTCTCTAACTCATGTCCATTTGATTTCCCTTCCAGACCCTGTGATTGTGTGCCCTGATCTCCCCTGTAAACGTGGTAGGTGTTGTTCACGGCTAGGTGATTTGTTCAATGGCACATTGGAGTGCAGCTCAGTGATTGATTCGGTTCCTTTCATTACAGAGCCTGCTGTAGCTTTGTGTGTCCAGCGGCCGGTGGATTTGATATTTCTGCTAGACGGCTCGGAGCGCCTTGGGTTGGAGAATTTCCGGCACGTCCGTGAATTTCTGCAGAAGGTGGCAGACAGGCTGACAATGGCCAACAACAAGACTGATCGTATGCGAGCCCGCTTGGCGTTGATAGAATTTGGCAAGGCAACTGAGAACCACGTGGCCTTTGCTCTCACACACAACCCTGCCACCATCACCAACGGCATTGCACGCTTGCCTTATCTCGACTCTTCTTCGAGCGTGGGGTCTGCCATCCTTTACACCATCGACACCATCTTAGGTAAAGGAAATGCTCGCCAGACGAGACGCAACGCAGAGGTTTCATTCGTTTTCATCACAGACGGCATCACTGAGAGCAACGACCTGGACGAGGCTGTGAGTGCCATGCGCGGGGCACAGGTTGTTTCCACTGTGATAGCCACAAGAAGTGACGTTGACCAAAAAGTCCTCATGAAGCTGGCCATGGATGACAAGGACGCCATCTTCAAAGGAAAAGACTTGTCTGATCTGTCCCTGTCCAGTTTCTTCGACCGTTTCATCCAGTGGGTGTGTTAAAGAAAGACCACATGGATGTGGACGTCATACTGGGTCATACTGCTTTTAATCCAGCATTGTAAACATGAGATACTGGTCTACTACAATTCTACTTTGCACTGTACAATTTGCAAATGACACCAAGGCATTGTGTGTGGGGAAAACTGTATTCATCTACAAATCAAAGTACAAGTCGTACATTAAGCTTTAAGATAATAAACCTGCAGTTTCTTGGACAAGGCAGTGATGTCTTGTGTAAACAAAGGATTTGTCATGCACATAAATCTTAAGATTTAAAGCACTCACTCGTCCAACATTCCTGAAAATTCCCATGGAATTAAAACAGGATTATTTCAAATCATTTTGATATTTAAGACAAAACACATCTGAAGCCCTCAACATACAGTACTTAAGTACTAAAGAAAAGTATTTCACACAGTACTGGCACACACATTAGCTCAGTCAGACATAGTTCTATGCAGTACGTATGCTGTTACTCAGTGTTAGGAATGTCATCGGTCCCAAAGTGGGAGGCAGAACAATGGACGGCTGAATAAGTTTGGTCCAGTGGAGCTGAATGATTGCATTCTTCTTGTTTCTCGCTGCATACGCTCCCACTGCTCCCACTGTTACATCAGGTCCAGCTGCATGGGAAGAGAGAAAAAAAACAAGATGTGAGACTGGAGCGTTTGTATGAAAGGTCTCAATAGGCCGTCCTAAAAATACAGGAAATGGTCTTAACACGAGTTTTGGCAACTTCAGTTAAATATTTAAAAGCTGAAAAAGGTCAGAATTAAAGAAATCACACTTGCCAAGTCATCAACATCTCCAGTATCTGCAGCAGGCGGTGCAGCCGCCTCCTCTTTCTTCTCCTCAGTAACCAGAAACTGAGGACAGAATATGCTTCGGTCAGTAGAAGTACATTCTTCATTTCAAATAGGTAAAACATTCCCCATTTCCTTAACGCCTCACAGTGGTTTAAATAGGGGGTCACCTGATTAGCATCGCTTTTGGATACAGCGCTTCCTTCAACCTCGTCCTTGCTGATAAGCGTTATGGCATCTGTCAATCAAACAGCAAGAAATAAGTCTATAAACGCCTTTAAGCAGGCTCGTGATTCAGGCCGCAGTGCATTTTCAAGCATCTATCAGCTCCCACACTTTTGCATTATTTACTTATTTTTTTGGCACCCAGGGAAATGATGTGGAAATTCTCCTCAAGGGAGAAATGATTTGGATGAAATCCTGCAGCCGCGGGTAAAGAGGCTTATCGTACCTTGAACAAGCAGGTCCCAGAAGACCTCCAGCCCTCTGTTTGGGATGCTTCTCTTCAGGGACTGGAGGTAACCGTTGTACAGATTGGCATCCTCCAGCTGAATTTACGAAAAATATGAAACATTCAGAAATCCGTTTTACGAGTCTCCTAAAAGCCAACTCCTACACACAGACAACATAAGCACACAGGAACTGGCCTCGGTTCAAGCCGCGGGAAATTAAACAGACTCGTTGTAATCTTCTCAAACTGACTCATAATCTCCGTAGCAAAACCAAAACTATGCCTTCTGATAATGTCACAGACGTCTGGAACAGAAACCGCCTCCTCATAATTGCATTTGCCCGAACGACAGATAGCGAATGTTTATTTACCTTAACCGACTGCTCTCTGAAAGCCTGGATACAGGTGATGCTTTTCATGTAGTACTGTGTGTCCTTGTTGCCAAGCAACTGCTCTATCCTGCGAGTCAGCTGCTGACAGACTATGGGAAGGACACGGGGGTCACCGCAAGCAAACAAAGAGAGAAACACAATTTACAAGGGCTGAACATGAGTCACCATGTTTTATAATACAAACAGAGACACAAGAAAAAGCTGGACCGCACCCTCTCCGAACGGAAGACTCTTCTTCTTGATGAGAGTCCGGAAGTCTTTGGCTGGATCCACGCTTCCCACCTGGTTAAGAGTTTTACATTTGTGAGGACGGAGGTGAAATGGAAAAGTATGCCTGTTAAAACAAGTGGTGAAGTACTTTTTTTGTGGTTCTCTCTCTCTCTAGGATTGTTATGCAACCCGTCTCCCCTGATTCTCACCGAAGTAACAGAGCCTTCGGCAATGTCAGCAAAGCTGTAGTCCTCCTCCTCTTCATCTCCTTTTGCCTTCTTGGCATCTGGCTCCTCAGAGCTGTAAATGGCAAAAAAAGTAAAGCCTCCATACTGACATGTATTAAACACTACTGTCAGATAATAAACACATTACAAATTCTTTTACACAATCTCCCAAATGAATATTTTCGACACTACGTGACTAACATTCCTGTGTGTAACGTTCAGGGACCAACCGCCACACTAAATCAAACTCACTCTTTGCCAAAGATCTGTGCACTCGTCTTCGGCTTCTTTTTCTTCTCCACTTCCACGAGAGGAAACTTCTTCTTCAGCTCCTCGAGTGGACCCTGGCAACGTTCAGCGACGACATCGGGGCGTTCAAGAGCAGCCTTCAGCCACGGCTCCATGGGGGGAAGAGGGGTGTCGGGGCTCACTGCCCGATGATGCAGACACTGAGGGAAAGGTTGGGTGAGACAGACCGGGACTGAGGACTGAATATGAACAGCCTCTAGCTGGTGAAGCTCTAGTCAGACAGATTATTTAAAAAATTTTCTGACATTAAAAAAATGACACTCCTGTCGCCTCAACTCAGAATAAGTAACAGAAGTACTGTATCTCTCATATACAAACTGCAGTACCTGGAAGTGCCTCTGGAAGGAAGGGTTGGGAATGTGGTGGACCTTGAACATGTCCTTTTTGTCTCCGTTATCATCCTCTTCTAACATCATGGAGTCAATGAGGGAGTCCACAGCCGACAGCTGCGTGTCTAGAGGAATCACATAACACACAAAAGTCCAGTCCTCCATCTCCAAGTGAAGTCTTCGAACTGATTCTTCTCTTTGAAGGATTTACACACACAGCGTTGGTGACCATAGGTGTCATGGTCACACCTGCGGGTCGAAATATTGTAGCTGCTGCTGTGATAATCGGAAAGCTCCAGAAATCTGCAGTCAGTTAAACATGAATGTGTGAGTTCTGTGAGGTGTTTTGTACCTGACGCAGTGAACCTTTTGTTGTTTTCAAGAGAAGGAAACGTAAACTGCCTGAGGTCTTCCATGAAGGGCAGCTGGACGTAGATCAGACACTATTGAGGGTGAAAGACAGATCATTAACTCTGTGCTACTTGACACCGATACAGTTAAAGGTTGTGTAGGATTTAGGGGGATCTATATTTATTCAGTCTTGGAAAGGCAGGTGTGCGAGTAGGGGTAGATGCCGCTAAATCCTACACACTGGCCCTTTAAATGTACCTAAAACAGCATCTTTAGTTGTCTGATCTCACCTCATAGTTCCTCTTGATGCAGGGGAAGGCTGCTCCTACTTGAGGGTTGCTGCGCCGGTCATAGGCGTAACGTACAATGGCCACCATGTTGAGTTCATCTAACGCCCGGATGAGAGCGGACAGCGCAACTCCTGCATGCTGCTCAGACGGAACAGTAGAGTCAGAAACAGGTCAGCATCAATGTGTCATCACCAGCAATGTGGCGGGTCTCTCCACCCTCACCTCATCATCCTTGGCAGGAAACACCTTGATGGCTTGAGTCCCCATGAACTGATGGCGACGTACCTGCAGGTATAAAGAAACAGTAGGTGAATAAAGTAACCAGCGCAGTCTGAAAAGGTTTAAGTTCGTTTTACATCACACTAGCATAGAATATATATATAATACCGAGTTCTCTTTGGCGAAGCCAAGAACAGCAAAGCACTTCCCATCGTGCTTGTATTTCATCTGTTCTTGATCTACTTTGGAGAAGGGAACGATATCACTTCCATAACGAAAACCTGTGGACACAAAATATTATATTTAAGAGTGTTATTAAGTGATAATTAGAACGTTGAGTAATCTAATCTCGTACAATTTGCTCACCTTGGATGGTATCATCCTTTTGCACCTCTGTCTCATTGTCATCATCCAGACAATAGACAGTCTCTCTCTTCACGTCGTCCCTCTTGTTGGTTTGAGCATCAACTGTGGTCCACATTTTCTTAAGTTTCTCCTCTGTCACCTGGAAGCAGAGAATAAAGTCACACTACCACTGTGTGTGTGTTGCAATCCGAGTTTCTCTGCGCTTTTGTTTATGTAGTATATATCTGTAATAATATTGTTACTATCAACCACACAAGATGTTTGTGAACATATTAAAACCTTCATTACACAACATTAGACTTATAGCCTACAGAAAATTAGGATTTTCTAAAAAACGTGGTGTTGTTGAAACTAAGAGCCAATCAGCTGTTTGATCAAGCGACAGCCAGGTGTTTCCCATCATCCACTGGGTCTTGCAGTCGGTGGAGAGCAACTGCGGCGCCGGGCTCTAAAAACGTAATGTATCTTTGTATTAAGCATGTCGTGTATATTCATCCAGCGTACTTCACAGTAAACTTACTGCTTTGTATCCAACGATACGGATGGGCAGACAGCTGCCGATGGTCAGCTGACAGGGCCAGGCCATCGGCCTCCTCTCGACACGCTTAAACATGCACAGCTGCTCAATCGCATTCCTACAGCGGGAGTGAAGCACAGGGGAAAGCCAAAATCATCCAATAACAGTATTCATTACTTTTAGGTGTAAAAAGCACCATGTGATTCAGACAGAAACACACACGTAAAGAAGAAAGAAGTTAAGGCATGAGAAATAAACCTGAAGGAGTAAATTTGATCCAGGCCATCCTCCTCATTGAGGCTCAGACTGATGTGTTTCACCATGTCGAGGCCGCTCTGCTGCTCCCCGGACAGATCTTTGCCTGCGCCCGGGTGACCACCGCTTCCTCCGTCCGGATCTCCTCCACCCTCTCCATCCTCCTCCGCAGGGAAAGGCAAGCTGAAATTGGTTTTGGTGGAAGGAAGCACACATAGGAATGAGTACACTCAATGTACTTTACAAGAGACCCATTTAACATTGTAAGTTTGATTATTCTATAACTTTACTGGGAAAATATGTGGAGCTTCTGTATCATGTGTGCTTTAAAATGACACATAGTGAACGTGTTTGAAGCTTACAAAAACTGCACAGTGATATCAGCTTGTTTCAGGTTATCAATGATAACGTCCAGCTGCTCTGAGCTGGCCTGAGTGTTGAGGTCAGTCAGGAGGGAAATGTTGAGACGATCACACCTCTTCCCCCTGAAAAGAAACCCCAAACACAATGTCAAAGACAATAATTAACATTTAAGTGCATGGACATCTTTCTTTCTTTCTTTCTTTCTGTTAATCGTGAGAACAATGTGTGCGATACAGGCAGCTCCTTACTGCGTTTCTGTCTTAAGGAGATCCATGCACACAACAAGAGCATCCAGCCCTGTTGAATGGGAGTTAAGGAGGAAACACATTCTCACACATCATCGAGGATAACGGGGCTGTACACAAACAGGATGCATGAATAAAGTCAAAGTGTTTAGTCTCTGTGCGAGTCACAACTCACACAGAATTGCCTGCGTTATTGTAATATTTTGCAAATATTTGATGTTAAACATTTGTTGGTTACAGCTTCACAAAGAAAAAGAGTAGCTCTGATTGGTGAGACTTTGGCTGAAACATGAGCATCTTTGTTTGAGATCTGCGTGTTTGCTACCTTTTTAATCAATGTTGTTACTTTCTAGTATATCTGATATCACTATAAACGTGTTTATGCTTTTGGATATCAGTCAGATTAAACAGCACAAAACACTACACTTAGCCTGAAGGTATGAACCCTGTAAGCTTTGATGAAGAGCTACCTGTCTTATTACAAATTAGTGTGAAAGGAAAGCCCTTGATGTTGCACAGCCTCTATCACAGTATATGTGAATTCATATCAAAATATAAATATAATAGATATTGTCATATAATACAGTTTTTGGGAAAACAATTAAGAAATTGTTAATGGATAAAATAACATACCAGGAGTGTCTGTTTTGGCTTATCCAGGAAATGAAATACATCAAAACAAGTAACTTAAAACCTTTAGTACTATTAGATGTAGTCTTTATACGTCTTTATACGTCTATACAATGTTAACTGAAAAACTGTATTTTTAAAGAAGTAAGCAAAAGGATACAATCAGCCTGCTGACTCTCTGGATGGATCTGATTCTCTATTTCCTCCAGAAGCTCGAAGTCAGGCATCATGAGGTTGCGATGCACAGTGATGTTCTGGTACTGGCCGTCCTGCTCCAGTGAGTTCTTGGTGGAGTCTGTGCCAAACAGAACTAAAGCCAGTTCATCCTTGGTCTCTGCAAAAACCTGTCAAAAAGGCATTTTGTTTTCAGTGTGTTTCAAAGATTACAGAGATCCTAAAAGATAGATTTCAATATGTGGTAGAAGTTTACCTGGCGCTGCACAAACTTCTGGATAACTTTTTTGGCAAGTTCAAAAGGAGGCTCTTCACCCGGGGCAGAGTTGGACATGGAGAACCCAACGTCCATACACAACACCAATGCTGACTACAAAAAATGAACAATACAAAAAAAAGCATTGTTTTATTTTTCCAAATGTATTATTTAAGGCACCTAATTGTTCTCATACTGTTAAAAACACTACAGATGTATAATGTTTCGGTATACATTCAATGGGGGTCTTAACATGTCTCAACATGTCGCCAACGTTTAACGTCTGAAGAACTATTTGTTTCCAACGTTTGTAAACTGCCCATTCGACACAGCAAAGATAAGCTCACAGACTGGACAAAAGAGTTGTTAAGTTCGTTAAGAAACGTGAAAGAAAGTAACTTACTTTGGCACCTGCCATCTTCTTTTTTTCCCTCTTCCTAAGTCTGCGCGTTACTGTATTATGGCTCCGACAAGAAACTGTGAACGGTAGAAACGAGGATGTAGTTCCGGTTTCCAGAGGTAATTGTTCCGCATTAATTTTACAGAGCACCATGCGATCTCTTAATGTTGGCTGCTCACCATAAATTAGTGAATACCTGTTTAACGAAAAATACCAGACCTGCATCAGTCTGTGATAGTGTCAGTTGCGGTGTTCTTGAGCTCGAGACGAGTCAATGCAACGTAACGTAATGATGAGATGTAGGTCAAACGCCCTCCAGCGCTTCATATGGCGCTGTGCACAATTTAAGGGTGTGCTTTAGTCTGTGCTTTTATGTAAATCGAGTCGACTGGTGGCTAATTTCATGGCTGTAGCCAGGAATTCAGAAATATGTAGGTAAAATGCTATGATGAATAAATACATAATAAATAAATAAATAAATACAAGTTATAAAAATGAATGTATTAATATACAAACATAAATAATACTAAAATACTCAGTTTGCCCACTCTCAACCAAATGTAGAATATTTAATAACTAGATTGTTCATAATTGTATTTTCTAAAAGTTTTATTTCTCTTCATATAGGTCTAAATGCAACCTTCTCCACACTTAATTCTCCACAAAAGAAAAAATACTAAAAAAAATAAATTTCCAGAAAGAAATATAGAGGACAAACTTGCTGTCCTCAATCATATAGTTGCCATGGCCCTGGCTCATTTTTGAAGTTTTGACCCATAGTCTGTGTTCAGTGTTTTAACCTTAAATTGTTTCAAAATTAGTATATAAAACAGGCCAATACAAGCTTGTAAATACGTATCGACCCTGGCAGTGCTATAGCCTACTGTTTTGTGGCATATGGATTTTCTTCAGTAAGCATCCCAGTGTAACACCAGGGGGCCAATAATCACATCTCCCAAACCCCAGAAAGCCATCTGCATCTATTTGCACCATGCTGGGATGTATGCTTTTCTGAGACATAATGAACCACACCAGAAAACATTAACCTGCTGGTTTTGTTTTCCACAATTTAGATTTTAAAATGTTCACACAGTTGTAATGTAATGACATAACACTTTATTTAATTTGTGTATTTCTTTACTTTGCATCCTGTTTCACAACATGTAATGTGCAATACAGACTCAATCCACAACCACTGATCCACCCAGTCAGGTCTGATCAAAAACATCAGAATGATCAAATATTTAATCTGATCTACTTAAACCAGCTATGCATTTCAACCAGTGCATGAGAGCTGTTTGCAACACATTTACTTCAAAAACCAGAGTATAAAACATCTAGCTAGAACAAAGTTCAGGAAGTGTACTAGACATAAATATTTAAAAAATAAATTAAATCAACTTTAAAATATGACTGTGTGGAAATGTAACAGGAACTCACAGGTGGAAAATTACAGTGAACTTCATTTTGCTCACGTGTGAAACAAGATTGTGAGAAAAACACAAGTACATGAAGATCACAAACATCTGTGTTGATGGAGCATTAGAAGACAATGAAAAATGTTACTTCACCAAAGAAATGTTTCCCTTGTCCTGAATATGGCTTCACATATGAGACAGCGTCGCCTTTGAAATGCATCTTCATTTTGATGTCAGTGCACAACTCAGTGATCACACTTAATTACAGATATTTACAGATGAAGTGAAACTTAGTTTGACTTCCAGGCCTCAAACACCGTGTGCATCTGTGTCCACCGCCAGTTTATCTAAACTTCACTACAGGAAGCAGCAAGGCCTAGGTCATGAACAGGATTCAGTGATTGGAGGATAACTCTTCTACCAAGAGTTACCATCCCATGCTAAAGGGAATCATTTATAGTGATCTGGATCCAGTAATGTTTAAATAAATTATGCGCAATACTTCAGCATTTCAGGATAATTTAGGCAGTGTTTGGTAGGTTTTCATTTACAGAAAAGTAAACAGCAGACTCAAACGTTCTAGCATGTTTGTCATATCACTCGGACTTAGGTCTACACCAACATGAGCCTTGGACCTCAGCGCCCATCACACCGAGGATGTCTGGGCGAGTTCACTGGGGGCCTTGCTCTGCAGAGTGCCACAAACAGTATCAGAGTCAAGCAGCTCCACTATGCTATAGGGGGAACAGTCCTCCAGTCCCAGCTTCCCACAGGCCCAGCCGCAGAAGCCTTTCTCCAGGTCTCTCACATCTTGCCACCACTCGCTGAAGGCCCAGGACACCTGCACCACGGCGGAGTACAGAGCCAGAGACAGCGCCATGGGCATGATGAGCATGGGGTAGAAGATGATGAGGAACGGGCATATTGTAATCTTGTGCCAGAACGTCCGCTCCTCATTGTACACCAGGAAGACATTGTACCAGGTCAGAGTGCCGTAGTAGAAGGAAGTGATGAAGGAGAGGAGGAAAATCACGGGGGCACAGGAGAGGCTCCACAGGACGACATGGGGTCCCTGGCACACGCCGAAGCTGCAGGTGCGTCTAGCGCCGTCCCCCGCCTCGCACTCTGCATCAAGACGTTCCTTCGACTTGGCCAGATCCCTGATTTCCCTCTCCGTCAGAGTGAGGTGAATGTCGACTAACTGGCCCTTCTTCTTCCCTCGGGTGATGGTGCCTGTCAGGGTTACGTAGCGGCTGTCTGGAGGAAGACTCCATCCTCCTCCTGTTGAGAGATAACACAACAACAGAAGATAATACAAAGACAATTATATGTGACAAATGAAAAAAGCAAGGCAGGCGAACAAGAAATGTCGTAACTTATCGTTTACATGGCCTCATATTGATGAAGACACCTCAAAGCTTTCTATATTGTTGCTAATATGCAGTCGGTTTGCAGGGTGTAAATTGCACAGTATGTGTCGAACGCATGACTGAACTTTCCTTCAGTAATAAAAAGTGGCATGTGGCTTCTTAACAGAATCTAACGCCCCTCTCACCTTCGCCTGTAGGTGTGCAGAGGAATTTAGCTCCCTCCTCTGAGCTCCTCTCTGCTCCCTCCTCACCGCCTTGGTCCTCTCCAGGCGCCCTCTCCATCTCAGAGCGGTAAACAATAATGGACTCTGGACGCGGGTCTTTCTTCTTCCTCCTCTTCCTCCTTATGGAGGGCCCCGCTTCTCCGTCGTCCACATGGTTCCCCGATATGTCCGATCTTAAGGAGACGATCTGGGGGCTGCCATCTCCTTCTGTGTGAGACTCCTCTACCTGTGCCATGCTCTCACCTGATCCAGAAAACACTTTGACTCTTATAGGCAACTTTATGATGGGTTTATATGGAGACTAGTAGTGAAGTCCTGAGCAGCACAGCCAATGTCCACCCATTATGTGTAAGTGTTCAATCTAAGGAAGATTTCCAGCTGACAGCAAAGTGATAAAAGCACACACAAACACAAACAGAGAGAGATATTATACAGCCGCTTTGCTTTTCTACAGGCACAATAATGCACTCCTTACAGGGATCCTGGCCTAGATTCTGCACAGTCGCTTTCTGTGTGATGATGACTGATAAAAAAAATCTCCTAAATATCACATTATCGTTGATCTGATGGCATTATCCATCTGAAGAGACAGAGACTACATCGCTCTAGATAGATGACAAACAAAGCGTGATAGATGCGTTCAAGAAGGGGGGTTGTCTCTGTCTTTTGCATGACAGCGCACCGATAATCTCAGTGGATATGCATCGAGCTCATCCTATATCACCGCACCGCCTTTACAGACACATCGACAGAAAAACTACACAATTCATAGACGGATTTCCCAAAAGAATGCATCATTTGATAGCAGGGGTGAAATCGACAATGCATCCCATTCTTCACACAGCTGATCCCCTCCCATTTAAATCCCACCCATGTCCGCTCTTTTGTCTGCAGACGCCAGCCGGCGAACAGCATGCACTCTAAATAGCGTTAGGAATTGAGATTCAATCTTACCTTCAATAGGTTGGACGAGCAACGGGCAGTTAAACTATACCATGTGCGGATAAGTAACTAGATGTAGACAATGCAGGAGCCCACACATCACAGCGCTCTGTTTTTTGCCGATACAGATGCGCTACGCAAAAATATTTCCAGAATAGAACTAGCCCCGCCCCTCTGACCTCTGTCCCACCAATCCTGAACCATCCGTGATCGTCACTGCCGTCATGTTAAATAATGGAGGGGGGGGGACACATCTGTCCTCGAGAATAGTGTGGGAAACACCAATATAAAGGCCTACACTAAAAATCGCAATTTACACAAAATGAACAGATTAAACTACATAACAATGTACAAAGTCGTTAATTGGTTTCACCTCCTCAGCTTGCAACATATATAACTTTGAAAGAGGCCAATCTGAATGATAAATAGGCTACTTTCTGGAGCAATGTTGCTGACATTACTTAAGTAATAAGTAATTAAAATGACCCCCAAATTTCTACCAGCTGCAACATTAAAGTGATGCATAGATTAATGCATCATAATTAAAAATCCAATAGTATGATGTATAAAAATCTGAAATGGACCTTATTGCATTATGACAACTTTTACTTTTTAGTATATCAAATGTTTAGATACAATTATTGGGTACAACTTTAATCGGTTCAGTCGTTTTTCCCCCTCTTACACCAGTAAACAGAAAAGGGTTTTAATGTTAGACCAAATGGTCAACATTAGGCAGTGTTTTGAAAGTATTGTGAAAACAATACAAAATGTAATTTTATGGTCAAGAATACAGATTAAAAATTCAGTACACTGCTCATTTAATTAGATTAATATTTATTTAATATTTGATTGGCATGATAGCCTAATTATCTAACATACTGTCTTTGGGTATTTGATTCAGATATGAGTCATTGTTGTGATTTTACGTGATTGATCACCTGTCAATCAATCGGATCTGGCAACACTGACGGCAGCAGCCTGTCAGAGCGCGCGTGCGGCTAACCACTGATGTTAGGCAGGTGTAAATTAAAAATGAACGACCAATATTCACTTAATAATATTGACAGCATCCTTTTTCAGTTTGGTGAGTTCACTTATTGAGTTTATTGTACGTTTACACTAGTTTGTTGTCAGTTGATGTTTGCTTGACGTGCAATTTAAAAGTTTTAACGCTAGTTAAATGTTAGCTAGCATTAGCTAGCTGGCTAACAACATAACTGCCGTTTGTATTTGATAGCTCTTCAAACAAGGAAGCTCTCCCAAAAGAAGAATGAAATCAACCAACAAATTAAAGGTAACGTTTCCTACGTCAAACAGTAATTCTCATTAACCTAATTAACGTTACTTATTATAAAAGATCAGACGATTGTATGTAAAGCAGGCTAACAAACAAATGTTATTATTTATGTTGTGAAATGGTGTCCATCAAGTGCTCACATTTCTGTCAACAGTTTGCAGAGTTGACACTACTGAGAGGAGGTCGTACATCGAAACAATCCACAGAAATATCAAAAGACTTGAGGAGGAAATCAGGGCGAAGCAGAGCACTGTGATGCATAATAAAGCAAATGCTAAAAGGTATGATGACTGGGCAATACATACAACACATTTGACATGTAATTTAACATAGGCAGTGCAGATTAATATTGATATTCAGTTATTACTGCTTGTAATCCACGTGACTTTAGCATGAAGGCGACTAACGGCCTGCTTCTTCAGTATGAGCACACGCTGAAAGCAGAGCTGGAGAGCAGAAAAGCCAGCTACCACCAGGACATGTAGGTTCACTTAACTGTGGTGTTGATTTGCATTTGATATGTAATAATAATAATAATAATAATAATAATAAACAACGCTGAATTGTTTTTCATTTGTAACGTAACAAGGGAAGTCTATGAAGAGAGAATTACAGGCTGCAGGAAGACATTCCAGTCGCATAAAGAATATTATCACCAAAATCCTGTTGCTCAAAATCTCCTCACGCTGCAGGCGGACAAAGAGGAGATTGAGTTTAGGATCAAGGCTTGTGATGATCAAATAATGATGAAACAGAATGAGCTGGACCAACTCACTGGTAATACGCTTTTTATATCATCATAACTTGCTGAAAATATTCGCTCTTGATGCAGTTAATTCTAATTTCTGCCCGACCAGGTCCAGCCGTGGATGCTTCTTCCACTGAGACACAACCAGACAGGTATCTTATCAAAGAATGTTGACGCATTAGCTTATGGCGGAGCTTATTCTCTCTCTCATGAAATGTCACTTTTCTTCCTAGTGTTTCAGGCCAGCAGCCTGTAGCAGAACCAGAGGAACAATCAGATCCTCAGACAGAGGAGGAAAGTCATGCTTCCATTGACATCTCCTCTCTTCACCTCAACCAGACAAAGGTACTCGGATACATTGAACGAAGCTGATGGAATTGTAAAGCTGGCAAATTCTTGCAATTATGAAATAGCCTGACATTGACAGTGACCTGCTAGACAAACTCCATGAGTTCTATGGGAGGCGTGAACAGTCTCCAGTCCCACATTTCTCTCCTCTTCATCCCCCTCCATTCTACATCCAAGAGGAAGAGGTGAGGGCCACCTTCAGGAAAACAAACTAGAAGAAGGCAACAGAGGGTTGAGATGAATAGTCTTTCGTCTTGTCCTCAGGACAGGCACCCCTCAGGACTGCGTTCTGTCACCCTGGCTCTGCTCCCTCTACACAAACCACTCCCCACCACAGCTCAGTCACCATTCTTAAACAAGCAGACGGCACAACCATAAATGGACTCATAACCAATAAGAAGGAAGACGGATACCGTTAGCGGGTAGCCCAAGCAGTCACTCGGTGCATTCATAGCAATCTCCAGCTCAACACTTCTAAATCACAATAACTCTTTAGAGATTCCAGGCAAAGCCTTCATTCACGTCTAAGGAGACACACACACACACACACACACACTCAAATGAAACATCAAAACAGACCACATTACCAAAGAAAAAGCCCCTAAGACAAACTTCAAAGTAAAGCGACGTCTCCTCCTTCAGTTGTACCCGGCCATCATTGAGATACTCGCCTCTTTCATAACAGTTTGGTAGGGCAGCATGCAAGAAAACTGCAGCGCATAGTCAATAAATCATCCAACAATATTGGCTTCAGCTGAGTCGATATATCGGACAATCAAAAGAACAAAATAAAAAACAAAATCTGACTCTGTCCCTGCCCACCACCTCCTCCAGCTGACGCCCTGTAGGAGGTGCTGTAGGTCCCTGCCCACTTAATCATCAAAAAACAGCTTTTCATCCACTGCAGTAAGAACTCTGAACTCTTCTCACCAGCCCTGACAGATGTGTTATTCATCTGATGTAATGTTGATGTATGTCTACGTTTGATGTTGCCGACACTGCTATATTGATCTTACCCACTATGTTGTACTTAAAGCCAAATCCACAGACCGTGGCCTTGTGGTTAATAACAAGTGTTTCGATTGATCTTTCAGAATGGTAATAAAACTTCTGTGGAGGCAAATGCTGAAGAGATTCATGAGGAAAACAAGGTCCAGTACACGAGCGTCTGCAGCCCGTCCTCAGGAGGAGAAAACAGTGAGCTGTGGTCAGGTCAGCCGTTAGATGGTAAGTAGAAGAAAGTCTCATGTGTTTCAGTTAACATTCATGTTACATCAAACCCCATCGAGCATTATTTCTCCAGAGCAAAGACACCCAGATGAGCTGCACCCTGACGAGCAGGAGCAGGAAACTGAACAAGAAGACCAAGTCTTGGTAATGTTTGTCTCATTGTACCCAGACTGTCTATAAAATGGCCACTTTGTTCCCTCAAAAAACAACCCATAATCCGTCTCTATAAGTACAAGGTGTTTTCTGCATATGAACAGCAATCCACTGTATCCGCTGTGGCGGTTGACGAAGACGTAGCTATGGATGAAGAGCAGACACCGAGCGAAGAGGACAATGAGGGACTCGCTGCTTTTGCTCAGTCGTCATCTCGAGACAAACATCCTCAGTCGACCCCGCTGGAGATGACAGCTGTGCCTTCAACCCTGACGTTCCCATTTAAGTGAGGCTTTATCTGACTTGTCCAACACTTAGAATCAGTCAGGACCGCCACTGAGAACGGTGTTTATTTGTTCATTTCAGCTTCAGCCCTGCCAGATCTCCACGTCACGGCACCTCCGATACCAAATCTCCAGCGTTCCTGTTCTCTCTGAACTCAGAGCCCAGCACCCCGGGCTTCTCCGGCTTTGGGTTTGAAGCGGGCTCTTCACAGGATGAGGTGAGCAGCGAGCAAACGGAATAAGTGATTTGACAGAAATCAGTTTCTCAAGTTTTGGAATTAACTCTTGAGTTTCTTCACAGGAGTCCCCCTTCGCTTTCGCCGGCTCTTTTTTCAACGAGAAGGTACTGCATTATGTATTGGAACCTCTTTTTATTTCATACAGCGCTACTAGAACAAAATACCAAACTACTGAATGTTTGTATCTTTTCAGAAAACTACAGAACCAAAGTCTTCAACCTGTACGTATCGAATCTAATCCCCGTTTGTGATGTGTATTCGAACTACAGGTATGGATATATGTGTATGTGAATGTATATTTTGCAGGTCCTGAGTTCCTGTTTGGACAACCAGAGCAAAGTGAAGTCTTCCAGTTTGCCTTTTCCTCCAAAAGCCCTCAGACATCTAACAAAGACAACACCGGGGACGACTTTCCATTTTCATTCAATTTTTGAGAATTGGAAGAAAAACACCTGAAATGCTGAATTATTGTGTTTTTAATACCAGTTTGTTACTGATGTTCCTCTGTCGCGTGTGGGTTAGATTAAAGCTTTGTTCTATTAAATATGTATTCAGCTGTCAGTTTAACTTAATATCATATTTCAATCGCTCTTCACACATTTTAAAGAACGTATTGCGAACAGTATCACTGTTAAATGACATTTAATTGAAGGTAAAGCATTATCAAAATAATACACAACATGCATTCATATTTCTTTACAGAGTTCTCTATTCTAAATTCAGTAGTTACATTTATTACACTGTATCAATATGTTTGTTCCCATTAATTGATGACAGAAGCAGTGTTTCCTACGCAGTGTATAAATAAAATGAACGTCTCACTGGTCCCATGAGTCAAAGTCACATTCTGACATCAAACCACCCACTGCACCACTTTAATCTTTGTGAAAATGATAAGAGGGGCTCCAAAAACTAGCTGCATAACATGGATTATATATACATCTTGTTCAGATTATTCCACACCACACACGTCTGCTTTATATAATATATTCAGTATTAAATCAGTGCAGTTTCAGCTTAATGGCACAGCTGATATGTATTGCAGTGATTGGGTAACAGAGGTTTGATTGGAATAGAAAAACCTGCTCCTCTTTGGAGAAATGAATACTTGAAGTACTTTTTCATAGCTGCTATGATACCAACAACATACTGTCTTCAGTCCTGTAAAAGTATGTAATCTGCCTAGAAACAAGCGATGGACAACTAAGGGTCAGAAAGTGCAGCGAGTCTCCTGTAGCTTCAGAGAGCCTAGAAGCCGTGGTCAATGCTAATGGAGCGCCGAGTCACATGTTCGATCTCTCCAGGGACGTATTCACAGAAGCTGGTTTGGTACTTGGCCAACATTTTTAGCAACGGCCGAAGATTTATCCACCACTGGACCAGGGGCATCCGGTGCCTGAAATACGGGCAGAAATCCGATTTTATTAAGACTTATTAATAATGAACTCTTACTATTTGTCAAAGAACGGTGACATCGCTTACTCAAAATCAGTCAGAGCCTTCAGCTCAGTGACGGGGCTGAATGAGATGACCTTCCTGTTGAGGCCCAGCACACATGCTGTATCTGGGGAGTTGGCGAACACACGGCCTGGTGGGAGAACAAAAAAATCATGCTGTAATCATAACAATGCTGTGATTTGACTTTCATACCAATTCATTCATATATATATATATATATAT